AGAAATATATTACTCTTGTATTACTTTTGTACAGTATAATGTACATCTTTAAATATTCCATTTTCTATCAACTTTAAATAAAACAATTAAATGATTAATCTGGTTGTAATATTTTATCACTTAATTGTAGAAAAAAAAAGAATACAATTATTAGCCTATTAAAAAATGTTTTAAAGGAATATTCACACAATTTTTCTTCCATGTATTAATTTCAACAGTAAAGTTTGTTTGCCAAAAAATAAAAGGATTTAATTTTCATTTGAAATATTTCATTAACATAAATGTTTAATGCCTTCATTTGATTTTCAGAAAAATTAAAACAAGAATTTCTCAATTGAAATTGAGACTTTAGCAATTTCATTATAGAAAACTATACGCAAAATATGTGCCAAAATTGAAAATGAAATTTTCATTTTAATTTTCACTGATGAATGAAAATTTCATGCGATAAGCCCCGCCCCCTGATCAACACATAATTTGCATATAAGTTGACTTTGAAAATGAAAACGGTGAAATAGAGACAATAAAATGAAAAATAAACTTTACATTTTAATTTGAATTGTGTAAAAGCTTTGTAAAAACTGGATTTGCATTTTTCACGTTTACCTTTTCATTTTAAGATTGGCAGTGCAAATGAAATGTCAAATCATCAACTGCATTTTATTTTTCAATTTGTCAGGGACAATGCATTGCCACAGTGAAAATGAAAATTAAATCATTTCATTTTCAATTTTTGCACGTATTTTGCGTATAGTTTTCTATAATGAAATTGTTAATTTAAATTTAAATTTCTATAATTAAATTGATTTATTTAAAATTGAAAATTGGCAGAAAATGCCTTCCATAATATATATACATATATTACTCATATTCTTATAGTCTAAATAAAACAATTTACAGCTAAATGGTATATGCTATAAATACCGAATTCTAGGGATGGGCGAAATCTTATCGTTGTGGAAACGGAGGAATCGCTAAAGGATGAGTTACTTCTACAGTCTGGAACTGGTTTGGTCAGGCCTGTACAGTGCAACAAAAAATCGGTCTGAGCCTTGAATAAACGTACTACACTAGCACAGTTTTGCATGTGTACGAGCCTGTTTGCAAACCGGTTGTCCAACAAAGATATCATTTGCTTTCTCCAAATTAACTTAACAACATAAGTCAAGTGTTTGAAATAACTTTTTGTGATCAGATGTGGTTTCATATCACAGAATGAGGAAGAAATTATACTTTTTTGTAGTATTATATAAAGTGCTAAAGGCTATGTCGATTAGCATTGCATTAGAAATATACTTTATTCTTATAAAAATACCCAAGATTGCTAGAACAACACAGATAAATCATGTATTGTTGCAATCGTATGTTTATGGTCTTCAAGTTTCCTCAGTTAAAATCTCTCTATCTGAGTTTTATTCAGGGATAACTGGATACCTTTGTCCATATTAGGGATTTCCTGGAACGTCATCAGTAGTATTACTTCTGCTATGCATGTGTGGAGTTTCTGCGCGAGGGCGCCCTCCGGCTTCCAGTGTGAATTAAACACTCATTACATGAAGCGTGTACTCAGTAATGCTCACAACACCCATAATAGGTAAAAATAGGAAAGATAATACTTTTCTCTAAAGAATGCATAAGATATAAGTGGATGCATAAGATTATCGTCATTGATATCGTTATCGCAATAAATGCCAGAAGTTATCGTGATATATTTTTAAGCCCATATCACCCATCTCTACCGAATTCTATTGCAACTGTTACTATTATTGCATTTGTATACAAAACGTTGTATTTTATGCTTGTTACAGAGTGTGACGTCACGTGCACCACAGCCCTTCTCTCTCACCTGGTTCTGGGGCAGCAGGGTTTGGGTCTGGTTCTGGGCGTCTGGCGCTTGGCTCTGGCTCTCGTTGCCCCCCACGGGCGAGCCGCGGGTGGTGGCCGTCATGCTCGATGCGGGGCAGATCTTTGCAATCTTGTCTGTTTATGTGGCGGGAGCCGGGCGAGAATCTAGAGAAGCGGGGCGTTTCCAGCAGCTGAGGGAGCGAGATCGAAGCACCTGGAGCTCAGGCCGGGCCGCAGAGACCATCGCATTACCTGCAAGACACACAGAAACACAGAGTGAGAAGAGCGGAGACGGGTTTGAGTTTAACCAGCTGTGCAGATCAGATGCCGCTGCTAACTTTAACCGGTGAAGAGAGACCAGCTGCTGTCGTCCGTCCAAACAGACACGAGCGGTCAGGACGAGACTCGCACAAACTCACATAAAAACACAGCAGACGCAGCAGTTTGTTCCGTCTGTGATCATCATCAGACGCGTGCGTGTCTGTCCTGCTGCTCGATCGCCGCTCAGATCTATTTAAAGGGATAGTTCACCCAAAAATGAATATTACTCCATGATTTACTCACCCTCAAGCCATCCGGGGTGTGTATGACTTTCTTCTTTCAGACGAATCCAATCGGAGTTATAAGCCATCCTAGGTGTGTATGACATTCTTCTTTCAGACGAATCCATTTGTAGTTATATTAAAAACATCCTGGCTCTTCCAAGCTTTATAATGGCAGTGGATGGGTGTTATTTTTCAGTAGTCCAAAAGAAGTCCAATAAAGCGCATCCATCCATAATAAACAGTGCCTCACATGGCTCCAGGGGGTGAATAAAGGCCTCCTGCAGCGAATCCATGCGCTTTTGTAAGAAAAATATCCATATTTAAAACTTTGTAAACCGTAATCTGTAGCTTCCGCTAACTGTCGTACGTTCACAACAGAACACCGTTCCGGCGGATGACGGAGGAAGCTCCGGTGAGAATATGCTAGTCTCGCGAGAACCAACGTTTGTTTACAGGAGCAAAGAAAGCAAAGAAAAACCAGTCTCCTCTTGGCTTACACGGAAATCCTCCCACATTTTTCTTGACAAATCCTCGTTTAGTGCTTCTAATTCATGACCGGCTTTTTGTTTTGATCTCTCCTCTGCTCTGAACGGTGTTCTGTTGTGAACGTACGACAGTTAGCGGAAGCTACAGATTACTGTTTGCAAAGTTTTAAATATGGATATTTTTCTTACAAAAGCGCATGGATTCGCTGCAGGAGGCCTTTATTCACCCCCTGGAGCCGTGTGAGGCACTGTTTATTATGGATGGATGCGCTTTATTGGACTTCTTTTGGACTACTGAAAAATAACACCCATCCACCGCCATTATAAAGTGTGGAAGAGCCAGGATGATTTTTAATATAACTCCGATTGGATTCGTCTGAAAGAAGAAAGTCATACACACCCCGGATGGCTTGAGGGTGAGTAAATCATGGAGTAATATTAATTTTTGGGTGAACTATCCCTTTAAGGACTGTGTGTTTGTCCAGTGTGTGTGTGTGTTGCTGCACTTATTACCCCGGATGGCTTGAGGGTGAGTAAATCATGGAGTAATATTAATTTTTGGGTGAACTATCCCTTTAAGGACTGTGTGTTTGTCCAGTGTGTGTGTGTTGCTGCACTTATAAGAATCAAATGTCATCACTAACACAGAGAATCATTAAAAGGGTGTTTGAGGCTCATAAATGCTCCAGATGATGTTTGAGTCGAGTGACATTATGGGTCTCATGAATACAGAACTACACTGGAATCACAGTAAACCAGGAGAAAGTTACGCCTCCGCGCATGCAGGAAGTGACAAGAACACAACTTCCTGTCACACTGGTGTCCTCTGCTGTCTTTTGGCTTCAGATGAGAAACCCAAAAACAACAGTCATATCATATATCATATAAATGATTGATATGAATCAAAACAATCAAACAGTAAATAAAGCTGCAGGTATCAGACATGATGTTAGAAACACGCCTGACAGATTCTCATGATCTGCAATCATTCAGAGAACAAGACTCCAAACACAGCTGTCAGAAATCATCAACATGCAGAACTGTGCAAGGCTTCATTCTGTAATCTCAAACACTGAAGACTCTCAGTCTGTCTGCCAGCCATCAGACACTGCTGCACAATCACAACACACACACGCAGCGGGGAAATCTGCAGTCAGAACCGATCCGAACACCTTCACATGCAGTCAATAGCGCTAAATATAGTCCAGCGTTATTTCATAAACATCAGCTGCTTCCTCGCATTCCTGTCCGCTACACACACACACACACACACACATCTGTTTACAGACACAGTATTCCTACATGCTCTCATTTCAGTGACAGTCGCGGTAAACGACCTGCATTATTAGCAGTTTAATGTAAAGAATCACTTTTATGGCCCCCCAAAGACCGGTTTCTGACGTTAGCATTAGCATCGCGCTTCGCTCGCGTTCTTCCCGTTCATATTCCCGCACAGACACCGAACAAACAAACAAACAAACGTGGACACGCTCAAACACCCGCGTTTCACAACGATTAGAGTTTGAATCTGAATCTGTGTGTGTGATTGAGGCCTGTTAGCCTCGGTGCTAACGTGCTAGCTAACCGCTGCTCCACTTTTTTTATGGCGCGTCCGCCGCCCGCTAAACGCCTCGACGCGCCTGTGAATCCTGTCACACCCGTTAAACCGGAGCACCGAGCACCGTCAGGCAGCCTTACCGCGAACGGGAGCCCAGAGCAGGCCGTGTTTCACCGGTGGAGTGTGTGCGAGCGTCAGCAGCCATTTTGCTCCGCAAACACACACAACCCGGCTTCACAGGGGCGGATAAACACGTCAGACGCGCGTCTACGGACATTCGCGCGGGTTTCAGTCGGTGTCAGGCGCCCCGGTCACGCGAAGAAAACCGCGCGGCTTCGCAAGCATCACTCACCGAACACCGGGCGTCTGTCCGCGGAGCTCTCTCTCGGTCTCGTCTGTTCGTTTCGGGTGTTTTTCCTGCTTCACCGGCGCCCCCCGACTACACCCGTCCAGCCTCAGTCCATACTAACCCCACCAGCAGCGACTGACCGGTTACCGGAGGGATGGTTTTAATAATCAGTGGATGTTTGTTTTCTTCTATAATGACTCGCTGTCCCGCACCGGAGCGGCCTGTTTGATGTTTAAATGTCTGCGGCTGCGTCTCAAAACCTAGTGTGCTGCCTTCCTAGACAACACTACTGAGACATCACGTCAGGGAAAGTTGCTAAAGGCAGGACAATTAGTTTTTTTAGCTTTAATACTTAAGAACATTAAAAATGTAGCACTTTCTTGTACTCAAGTAAAACTTTGAATTACTTTTACTCGAGTAAAAGAAAGTACTAGATTTCTGATGTGATTAAGTATTAATTTATATTTAATATGAAACAATGCAGTAAAAAGTACAATATTATGCTTTGGAATGTTGTGAAGTAGAAGTTTTCTAAAGAAAAACACTTATGTAGACACTTGAAAAATGTACTTTTAAAGCAGAGTAAAATACTTCACTACCGTCCGCCTCTGTTCAGACTTTGCATTGAATATAAATGATATAAAGCAGATCCCTGCCTTTATTAGGGTTAGCGATGTATGTGTTCGTTCCTGAATATTGTTATGAGACACCACATGATCTGCTGGAGGAAATCATCATCATCACTGCCGTAAAAACAACATGCATGACCTGATTTCAAAAGCAATTTACTTTTTCAACACATGAAAGGAAACAGATTAAAAAAACAAACAGACATACTGAAGAGCAGTTTTGTCATTTGCAGAGGAATTTACACAGGGCGATATGAAATGAAGAGTTCACAGTCCGGCGAGTTGTTTATGCACACACTACTTCATTTCAACCGCAAATGTACAGACCATTGAAACATTTACACACAATTAAATCCTCTCGGTTTTCTCGGAGTAAAACAATAATACTCTTAAGACAGCACATTTTCTGAAATGGTCGATCTAGGAATGGATATTTTCCTCCTCGTTCCGCACAAGAAATCAAATCCAGGACAATTTACAAACACGTCACTACACGGGGCATGAGGCTCGGAGGTGGATCTCGACACACACATCTAGAGGAAGAGGAGGAGCAGCCCGAGGAAGACCGCTGGGCTCCACTGCCCTTTGTGCAAACCTACATCTGTAAACAGAGGGGTGTATGCAAACGGTGCTCGTGTGTGTGAGAGAGAGAGAGAGGGTCAGCTGTGCTTATTTACTGCAGGCCAGTGGGCGGAGTCACGTAGCCACGCCCACAGGGTGGGGCTGATGGGTGTTGGCTCCTCCCTCTCCACTGACTGTGCTCATCATTGCTCTGAGACGCCGTCTCATACGTTTAAAAAGAAAACCGTATAAAATGTCATCAACCCCCTTTGTTATTAGTACAGGACCATATCTATGACTTATATATTCATATTTATAGTTATTTATATATGTATAGATATATACAACGCTACGCACTGGTAGTGGCCGGGCTGTAAAGTCCGTGTGTGTGTGTGTGTGAGATGGCTAGTACACCCAGGACACCGGCACCCACTGCGCAGTGCTAGACACCAGATCGATAGCCTCCTCCAGCAGGCGGATGGTGTCGTCGATCTCGTTATTGATGATCGTCTGGTCGAAGTAATGTGTGTAAGAGTGCTGCAGCGCCTCCGACTCCTTCTGCAGCCGCTGGAGAGACTCGTCCTGATGAGAACAGACACACAACATCAGCGAGATCACGCTTCCGGGCTCCTCCCTCTCCACTGACTGTGCTCATCATTGCTCTGAGACGCCGTCTCATACGTTTAAAAAGAAAACCGTATAAAATGTCATCAACCCCCTTTGTTATTAGTACAGGACCATATCTATGACTTATATATTCATATTTATAGTTATGTATATATGTATAGATATATACAACGCTACGCACTGGTAGTGGCCGGGCTGTAAAGTCCGTGTGTGTGTGTGTGAGATGGCTAGTACACCCAGGACACCGGCACCCACTGCGCAGTGCTAGACACCAGATCGATAGCCTCCTCCAGCAGGCGGATGGTGTCGTCGATCTCGTTATTGATGATCGTCTGGTCGAAGTAATGTGTGTAAGAGTGCTGCAGCGCCTCCGACTCCTTCTGCAGCCGCTGGAGAGACTCGTCCTGATGAGAACAGACACACAACATCAGCGAGATCACGCTTCCGTCACGCGGCTAACGAGAAAACACGCCATCTACCACAAACGAGTCGCTCCAGCACAGCAGCTCCATGTGTGTTCAGTCACATTCATTACAAACAGTGCAGGTTCTGCACTATACCATTATTATTATTTTGAATCAGTTTTTATTTTTATATTTTCTGGTTTCATTTTAATTTTGGTTAAAGTTTTAGTCATTTTCTTGTGCGTTTTTGTCATTTGTAGTAGTTTTTTTTTGTCTATATAGTATTTATTAATCTTTTTTTAGTTTTTGTTATTGTAGTACATCAATGTAAACTAAATTAAAATGAGAAATGTTGCCTTGGCAACTAGCTGAAATAAATAGTTTTTTTATATTTAATGTTATTTCAAGTGACAAAAATGTTTTTTATTGGTTTTAATTTTAGTTAAAGTTTTAGTTTACTATATTAATCCTAAAATGCATAGACAGAAATTACATCTCAAGTATGACTAAAAATCTTTGAATTTTATCCAAACACGAAACACTGACTTGTGTGCATGCATTTTGGTGCAACAATCACAAATTTAAATACAGCGCATGTGGAAAGTATTCACAGCGCTTCACTTCTTCCACATTTTATGTTGCAGCCTTATTCCAAAATGGATTAAATGCATTATTTTCCTCAAAATTCTACAAACAATACCCCATAATGACAACGTGAAAAACACGAGGAATAAGGCTGTAACATAACAAAATGTGGAAGAAGTGAAGCGCTGTGAATACTGTACGATATCGTCCGCTGGTGTGGATGCTAATATAGTATTTGTTCTTGGTGTGAACAGGCCTTGAAGCTCAAAAACGGACACGATTAATTTTGGTGTAAAATCTTTGATAGTGTGATTCAGCCCATAGCGCTGTATGGAAGTGAGGTTTGGGGTCCACTCAGTGATCAGAGCTACACTAGATGGGACAGACATCCAACAGAAGCCCTACACACAGAATTCTGCAAAATGATTCTAAAACTACAAAGAAAAACACCCAATAACGCATGTAGGGCAGAATTAGGCCGATTCCCATTGATTATCAATATGCATAAAAGATCTCTCAAATTCTGGATGCATCTTAAATCAAGTCCCACAGAATCGCTACATTTTAAAGCGCTACAAACCCAAGAACTGAACCCCGAAAAGAGTCCACTCAGTCAGCTAGTTCTGAGACTTACTAACCTGACTAACTCTACTAACACTATCCAGTCTCAAACCAGCACTGCTTCTCATCCAAACATCAAAATAAATCAAATTATCAAACAATCTAAAAATACATAGTCATGTCCTCATCTCATATATAAAACATTTACGTTTATGCATTTAGCAGACGCTTTTATCCAAAGTGAGTAAGGGTGAGTAAGGGTGAGTAAGGGTGAGTAAGGGCAAAGCACAAAAGATGCAGTACTTCCAGTGACCTGTAGCAGGCAGTATCACGTCTTTTGTAGCAGAAATAAACTGCTGCAGAAAAAGCTAGATCCATGCAAAATGTAACGTGTAACTGCAACACTCATTTCAAATGTTGTGGAGTAAAGAGTAAAGGTTGCTAATATCTTTGATACTCAGTACAACTACAAAGTATCCAAAAAGATACTCAAGTACAGTAATAGCAATTACAGCAATTACACTTACTCCAATACTTTACACCTCTGAACCACAACCCCAACATTCATAAAGAAATTGACAAAAATCTAAAGTATAAATATGATGAAAAAAAAAAAAACTAATTTGACCTCCAAACCTAACTCTAGTGTTATTCCGCCCTAAACACAAACAACAAATTGGCAAATTACTTATCAATTAAACAATTAAAAGACAAATTCTTTCAAAATATTCACTCTGTGACCACGAGAGAAAGGAAAATCCAGGATTCTGAGAGAACAGCGATTATACAGACACTGAATCAATTAGAGGATCAGAAACACTTTCTTCTTGTCTGTCCCAAGTACACCACTGCAAGGAAACAGTTTTTCCACAATTCATTGAATTTTTCATTCTTTACTCTAAATGACTCGGAGAAACTCTGCTATAAACTCAGAGAGGACGACATGGTTAATCCACTGTATTCATTTGCTTTATTTGACATTCTTCACTGTATATAATTGTAATTGTTATAACTAATATTAGAGATACTATCTGCCATTTTTTATTACTCATCTATTGTCTCCTTTATTACTTTGGAGGAGTAATTATATTCTGTATTTTACATGTACTTAAAATGCTTTGGCAATACTTTATTACAAAAGTCATGGCAATAAAGCAACTTGAACTTGAAAGACGACTTCTTTCTTAAGACAATATCTTAACTATTTTCTCATTTCGTTTATTAAAAAAATGTAGTCATGTAGTTATCTACTTAATGATTTATAGATCTATTCTTGTTTTGTTTATGTATTATATAATAATTATTTGTTCTTTGTTCATAAAATAGTCAATGCTTTGGCAATACTGTGCAAGTCATGCCAATAAAGCTCATTTGAATTGAACTGAACTGAGTGAGAGAGTGAATGAGACCCTGGACCACAAAACCAGTCATAAGGGAGAGAGAGAGCGAGCAGTCAGTGATGGGCGGTTCATGGCGAGCTGCATCAGGTGTGATGCGCGTCTCTTACGTGGGATGGGATACGCGAATCTGTCGGGATGTTTTGCGATGAGAGTGTTCTTGATGTGTCTTCGGCCGACGCCGTGAGCTCCTGCAGACACACGAATCAGAGCCGCCGTTATCGTCAATATCATCAACTTGATTGCACAGATACTATTTAAACTGAACTGAGCTGGATGATGACATCACTGAGTCAATAGCTACGTTTACATGGACACTCTTTGCTTCCATCGGAATGAATTCATTCTGATTGACGAATCTGAGCGTAGTGTTTACATGAACGCTAAATAAAGTGATCGGGTTAGGTGACGACCAGCACATGAACTGTTGTGCTGTGCTGCTTGCTTTAGAAAGCACCCAAAACCAGTCGCCTGTGGATGAGAGTCTTACACAAGGACCGGTGGGACGTTGTGCTGCTCCACTTCACAGACGCTGAGTGAAAGGGGAGTTTTATAATGACGGGACACTCATTTATGACTCTTTATTCACCAAAGTCTCCAACCGCGTGCCGTACATGGCGTCCTCGTGGCTGCCGTACTCCAGGTAATCGTTGTTGGAGATGTCCTGCATCATCTGGTCATGTGACACGAAGAAGTAGTTCTTGCCGTTCTCCTCGTCCTTCTTCGGAGGTCTGGTGGTGTCTGTCAGCTGAGTGAAAGGGGAGTTTTATAATGACGGGACACTCATTTATGACTCTTTATTCACCAAAGAGCAGCTCGTTCCGCACGTCATTACGCTATTTTTACGTCACTGCACATGCGCAGTACTTTCCAGTTTCGGTTTTCAATCCGATCAAGTGTTTACATGTCCTCTCGCTCGGATTACAAAAGGAATAAACCACCCCTTACAATCCGATCGAAATGTTTGTCGAATCTGGCCAATTCAATCCGATCGACGTGTTTAGATGTGACTTTTTTATTCTGATTGTGCTTCTAGTCCTATTACGATCTGATTAGTAGTGTCCATGTAAACGCAGCTAATGATGAACTGCCTTTAACTGAAAACTGAGTGTTTACTATCGTCCTTTTGCATTATTGACACTATTTGGATAGTTCAGCCAAAAATGAAAATTCTGTCATTAATTACTCACCCTCATGTCGTTCCAAACCTGTAAGACCTACAGTTTCTACAGTTTGCTATGTTTCTGAGCCTTGATCGTGTTAGGATCCTTGCTGTCTATGAAGGGTCTGAGAGCTCTCGGAGTTCATCAAAAATATCTTAATTTGTGTTCTGAAGATGAACGAAGGTCTTACGGGTTGGGAACGACATGAGGGCGAGTAATTAATGACGGAATTTTCATTTTTGGCTGAACTATCCCAAGCTGCTTTGACAATCTGTAAAAAGCGCTATATAAATAAAGGTGACTTTATTACTGAACTGAACAATGATTGAATAATTTGTCATAACTGATGGATTCTGCAACATCATCTCTGTTATTTTCCTGTTTATTTCTGTGAAGCTGCTTTGAATCGATCTGTACTGTATAAAGTGCCATAGAAATAAATTACCCAGCAGCACCAGCGTTTTCCTCTTGAACGCCTGCAGCTTCACCACCTCTTCATACGTCACCAGATCTAGTTGGTCGAAGACTGGAGGAAACAGAGACCTGATCAGTGACACGGACTGCGTGACGGGCGCTACCGTGAATCAGCAGGAAACAGGAAATGATGTCATTCAGATGTGATGAGAGCTGGTGAGATGAACTCTGGGGTTGCTTTAAGATGTCTTTTAATTAAACTCAACTAAGAGATTCACTGACTCGACCTTGTGGAACATGAAATGAGACGTTTAGCAGAATGTTCATGCTGCTCTTTCATCAGACTTCCTCAGAAATATCTTTAGTTGTGTTCTGAAGATGAACGAAGGTCTTACGGGTTTGGAACGACACGAGGGCGAGTAATTAATGACGGAATTTTCATTTTTGGCTAAACTATCCCAAGCTGCTTTGACAATCTGTAAAAAGCGCTATATAAATAAAGGTGACTTTATTACTGAACTGAACAATGATTGAATAATTTGTCATAACTGATGGATTCTGCAACATCATCTCTGTTATTTTCCTGTTTATTTCTGTGAAGCTGCTTTGAATCGATCTGTACTGTATAAAGTGCCATAGAAATAAATTACCCAGCAGCACCAGCGTTTTCCTCTTGAACGCCTGCAGCTTCACCACCTCTTCATACGTCACCAGATCTAGTTGGTCGAAGACTGGAGGAAACAGAGACCTGATCAGTGACACGGACTGCGTGACGGGCGCTACCGTGAATCAGCAGGAAACAGGAAATGATGTCATTCAGATGTGATGAGAGCTGGTGAGAGGAACTCGGGGTTTGCTTTAAGATGTCTTTGAATTAAACGAGCTGCGAGATTCTGTCCTCACTGGCTCGACCTCGTGACTTTGACTCTTCAGTGGAACATGAGAGGAGACGTTTAGCAGAATGTTCATGCTGCTCTTTCACAGCAGATAATCATACATACTTTACATTTCCATGCGTTCCTCACCAAACGATCATTCAGAATATTCTGTGTTCAGAGCGGCACGAGGGCGAGTGAATGATGACAGAACGTTCGCTCCTGTAAAGCTGGAATACACTACAGCACTTCTGCCCTCGCTTTTGCATCCAGTCAGACGATATTAAACATGTTTGATATTTTGGGCTGATTTAGAACATATCGTTTTGATTTGTCACGCGTCTCAGAGCAATGAGACATGCGTTTCTGTGTGAGTTTGTTGTGTCTGTTAGTATAGCTTGTTTGCAATCATGTGATTCTGATGATGGAATGAAAGTGAAATGGAAAGTCTGTACTGTACTGGTTTACAAGAGAAAGGTATAAACAGGCGGTGGACACAGGCTAAGCAACTAACCCTGATTGCAAACAAGCTATTTTGAAAGTGAATCCAGCATTTATATGAGGGATGCTGAATATATGTCACTCCTGAATCTTTGCTGCTTGTACAGGGTATGTGGCCGGAAATACTGAATCGATTATCGCCTTTGAAAACGAGTAAACAGCGCTTCCATATAATCACTAAAAAGCTGTCACTCTGAACTGCAAATATAATATCTTATTTACATCATGTCTACGTGTGGCGTTTAGCATTGAGTGAATTCTGACTGTCTTGCGCTGAATGCATAAGAGTTGGCAGCCCTGTATCTATTTATAATATCTTAACGTATTATTATATCTTATAATAACCATTTGCACACACAAGCATTATCCGACTCGGCTCCTCCTGACCGCAGACGCAGGTTTACAAGCCACTTTTTCCTGAATTTTTCAATCAATTTTTTTGCCTTTTCCCCCCTTATGAACAACACATTTTCGTACACGATAAAAGCTCCTTGTGGTTTCTCAGTTTGACTGATTTGAGCATCGATAAACAACGCAAAACAGGCATTTTGGAGTTTCTGCACGCGATTCCTATACAGAAAAATCACTTCCCGCCCTCCAGATGCATTTCACGCCACAGCAACGACGTCATGTGCAAACGATCTATTACTTCAATATGAACTAATGGTGAGTTAAGCCATGTACTAATCACAGATGAATTCATATGATTTGTGTCGTAGTTAAAGCTCTTGATTAGTACATGCCTCATCGTTAGTTCATATTGAATCGAGCTATTAGCACATGGTTATCATGTACTGTTATTTTAAAGCTGTGTGAAGTTAAAGTGTGTTGTAGTGTGTTCCAGCATTAGTGGAGCTCCTGCTCGTTCCACAGTCATCAGTGCTTTTCAACATGACGTGATTCGGAGGAAGTTCTACAGCCCTCACAGGAAGTGACTGAAGCAACACAACACTGTCAATCACATCGACTGATTTCAACATCAGATCTCACAGAAACACTAAACTAGTCACATGCCTTTACTAGTCGCTTGGTTGACATGGGTAACAAATAACAAGTACAAACACAACAACCGCTTGTTACTTTAGCAAAAGGAGGTCGACACGATTAGTTACTTACATGCGGGAGGCCATTAAAGGGAGACAGCGTGTAAAATGGACAGGGGTCAGTTAAACACACATTACAACACACACACACTCACTCACTCACAGCCACACACACACACACTCACTCACAGACACAAACACACACACACACACACACACACTCATTCACAGACACACATACACACACACACACTCATTCACTGACACACATACACATACACTCACTCACAGACACAAACACAGACACACACACACACACACACACACTCATTCACTGACGCACATACACATACACTCACACACACACACTCACTCACTCGAGCAGTGCTAGAGAACGACACGCATTAGCCATGCGCTTACATATAACACACTCATCCAGCACACACACACACACACACACCACTCTGCTGTTACACAACATCACAAACAGTTTTGTTGCGGTCACGACGCTTGGACTCATGGGAATGTGATCATCTCGTCACTACAAGACATTATTTTGAGTCCATGAGAACACTGTGTTGAGCTACACTATCCTGATGCAGGAACGACACACTTTTCTCATCAACACCATTTTAACGAGTAAACAGAAAGAACATTTTAAATAACATTTTATTTTATTAATCATGCTACATGCATTATATTATGCATTATATTATATTTACATTAAGTCATTTAGCAGATGCTTTAATCCAAAACAACTTACGAATGAGGACAACAGAATCAATCAGAATCAACAAAAGAGCAATGATATGTAAGTGCTGTGATAACTGTCAGTTAGCCTAACACAGTGCGCAAGAGTTTTTTTTATATAATAAATAAAAAGAAAACAAGTAGATAAAATAGAATTAGAATAGAGAGTGGTAGAGTTAACGTTAGAGGGTCAAATGAAGATCGAAGAGATGTGTTTTTAGCCATTTCTTGAAGATGGTTAAGGGAACAGTTAATGTAAAAGTCTGTGAAAGTGATTTTGTGTTTATATTATACTTTGTTCCTGTGACATTCAAATGAAGTTTCAAAATTGGGTTATAAGATGTTTTGTTGTTATTATTATATTTATATTATTAAATTAGTAATATTGTCTTCTGATCACAATTTATTTTCTCATGACCATGAGTTTAATGAGTAAACAAACCTGCATTACCATAGCAACCAGTGATTATCAGAAATGAAGATAATTTAAAAAATAACATTTTCTTTCAGATTTATTACAAACGACAAAGCAGCATAATTATATCATATCATACCTCATTCCTGCAACATTATTTAACAAGTCTGAGTAATTTGTAATTATTAACCTATAATAATTTAATAATATATCTTCACAAGAAATACAGTATCTTGTAGACAACTATTCCTCTTTGAGGGTATCGACTTGTATTTATGGGAATTTAACATGTATTATAATATTACATTTCAGTTAGAGTTTGTTTAATTACAAAGATATAATTAGTGGTGTTTTGCAAATAATTTGGTGTCTCTGAATGAATTATTTCATTGAATAAATCACAACGCAGCATTTTCACATCGCAAGGTCATGTCATAACTGACCAAATGATCTTGTGGACTCTAAATAATATCCTGTGGGCATGACATATGGCACACGTCACGGTCTCAACACAACTGAGTGAAGAGCAGTCAAGCCATGTTCAGTGTGTGGCAGCAGGTGGCAGCGTCTCTCTGATCTGATCTGCTGTCAGTAGGTCACAGAGAGGTCAGCGGATTCACACACACACACACACACACACACGCAGGCACACACTCACACACACACACACACAAGCACATGCGCACGCACGCATGCACGCACGCACACACACACACACACACACACATGCGCACACTTCAGCAGCGACAGACATCCAGTCTCAAAGATTTACAGTCAATATTCATGAAAATATGGTTTAAAATACATCTACTGTTATTTACTTACCCATATTAGATGATTAAAAAGCTTTATTTAAAACTGTGTGTGTGTTGTGCAGACAGCTGTCAGATGAGCAGGTGTGAGTGAGTGTGTGTGTGTGTGTGTGACACAAATTTGTATAATGACAGGGGTATGACAGAGGTATTACAACGTGAAGGTGGTCTATGAGGACACTTTCGGTGTCCCCGTAATTCAAAAGGCTTAAAAAACATACTAAATGGTGTTTTTTTTTTGGGGAAAATCAAAAAATGCAGAAAGTTTCCTGTAAGGTGTAGGGCGATAGAATATACAGTTTGTACAGTATAAAAACCATTACGCCTACGGAGAGTCCCCATAAAACATGGAAACCCAACGTGTGTGTGTGTGTGCATGTGTGTGTGAGTGTGTGTGTGCGCGCGTGTGTATGTGAGTGTGTGTGCGTGTGTGTATGTGTGTGCGCGTGTGTGTGTGTGCGTGCATGTGAGTGTGTGTGTGTTCGAGTGTCGTGTGCGTGTGTCTGTGTGTGAGTGTGTGCGCGTGTGTGAGTGTCTGTGTGTGTCTGTGTGCGTGTATGTGAGTGTGTGTGTGTATGTGAGTGTGTGTGTGTGTGTTTAAGTGTGTGCGCGTGTGAGTGTGTGTGTTTAAGTGTGTGCGCGTGTGAGTGTGTGTGTGTTTAAGTGTGTGCGCGTGTGAGTGTGTGTGTGTGCGCACGTGTGTGAGTGTGAGTGTGTGATTATTCTGCTGATGTCATGATGGACGGTCCGCTGCTCATTACCTGCGTTGTGTTTGGCTAAGTATTTGTCTTTATACTGTTTCTTCTTCTTGCTGAACCATGTACAGCTGGCCTGCTGCTCCTGCTTGGTCTTCTCCATCGCTATACACGCCACGCGCCTGATGACACACACACACACACACACACGTGCATGAGTGAATACACAGAAGTGACGGGGAAGAAACTCAGTGCCTGTGTATCTTACAGTTCGGCCCCAGAGACCAATACACGCCACACGCCTGACCACACACACACACACACACATGAGACCAGGCCTCGCTCACACGAGTGCAGCTGTGGTCTGTGTTTCTCACCACTCCTGCAGCTCCGGCGAGGGAATGAGGCCCGCCGTGCCGTTCTTGGTGTTCTCCAGTTTGCCCTGCCACCAGTTATGATCGTCCTTACTGATGATCTGGATGATGTCACCCACCCGGAAACGAACGCCAGCCTCTTTACAGGGAATCAGGTCGTCTTTAGCAGGATCGTACTCGAACTGCGCTCGAACGTAAATCTGCAGAAACACACGAGTAAGCGTTAGAAAAATGAGATTCACCACTTCAACTAGTAAAGCTTATAATTAGGGCTGTCCATTGACTGCACATTTGATTGGAATAAAAATAATACAATAATCATTATTCTTATAATTACTCTTATCAATAAGACACCATTTGTGACCCTGGACCACAAAACCAGTCATAAGGGTCAACTTTTGTAAATTGAGATTTATACACCATCTCAAAGCTGAATAAATAATCTTTCCATTGATGTATGGTGATATTTTTCTTACAAAAGCGCATGGATTCGCTGCAGGAGGCCTTTATTCACCCCCTGGAGCCGTGTGAGGCACTGTTTATTATGGATGGATGCGCTTTATTGGACTTCTTTTGGACTACTGAAAAATAACACCCATCCACCGCCATTATAAAGTTTGGAAGAGCCAGGATGATTTTTAATATAACTCCGATTGGATTCGTCTGAAAGAAGAAAGTCATACACACCCCGGATGGCTTGAGGGTGAGTAAATCATGGAGTAATATTCATTTTTGGGTGAACTATCCCTTTAAGACATACATCAGTTTCACAATACCACACTGTTTACTGTCCAGAGTAATGCAAGAAAAGGCCTAAATCTTCATCTAAACCTATAATGCTTTGAATCTGAGGGGTTTGGTGTGGTTTATTGGGAGTCTTACTAAGATGGAGCTGGTGACGCTGGAGTGGCCGTTTGCAGGAGACTGTCTGGGCAGATCAGGGGAATCTTTCTGAAACGCCAGAATAAAACAGAGTCATGTGATCTGTGCATTTTACTGTCCAGAGTAATGCAAGAAAAGGCCTAAATCTTCATCTAAACCTATAATGCTTTGAATCTGAGGGGTTTGGTGTGGTTTATTGGGAGTCTTACTAAGATGGAGCTGGTGACGCTGGAGTGGCCGTTTGCAGGAGACTGTCTGGGCAGATCAGGGGAATCTTTCTGAAACGCCAGAATAAAACAGAGTCAGAGACGCTCATGTGATCTGTGCATTTAGTGTTGATATTCCAGGAGCGACCAGCGTGTGGCGCTCTGACGGAAACAATGCATATTACTAATCAAAAATTAAGTTTTGATATATTTACAGTAGGAGATTTACAAAATATCTTCACGGAACATGATCTTTACTTAATATCCTAATGATTTTTGGCATAAAAGAGAAATGTATAATTTTGACCCATACAATGTATTGTTGGCTATTGCTACAAATATACCTGTGCTGCTTATGACCGCTTTTGTGCTCCAGGGACACATATCCAGTTAAAAAGCTCAATTTATATCTGCATTGTTTAACATTTTGCCATTTTTTATAATTGTACTAAATGAACAGGTTGAATTGACAGCCCTAGTTAAAATGTAACTGCATATAACCATTTTTGGGTGAACTATCCCTTTAAGACATACATCAGTTTCACAATACCACACTGTTTACTGTCCAGAGTAATGCAAGAAAAGGCCTAAGTCTTCATCTAAACCTATAATGCTTTGAATCTGAGGGGTTTGGTGTGGTTTATTGGGAGTCTTACTAAGATGGAGCTGGTGACGCTGGAGTGGCCGTTTGCAGGAGACTGTCTGGGCAGATCAGGGGAATCTTTCTGAAACGCCAGAATAAAACAGAGTCAGAGACGCTCATGTGATCTGTGCATTTAGTGTTGATATTCCAGGAGCGACCAGCGTGTGGCGCTCTGACGGAAAAACACTTACATCACAGGACAGAGACTGACTGCGGTAACTGGGCACAATTTTGAAGGTGATGCTGCCTCGCATCTCCCGCTGTTAGAAAACAAAACACGTTACTGACTAAAACTGACCGCTGATGCAAACACAGTAACCAAGAGTGCAGAATCAGAGACGTGTGAGTGTGTGTCTACTTAAATATTTATACTACCATATTTTAGTTAGCTAAAAGTGAGCTAAACCTGACAAAAACTCCTTTTGGGGATGTGCTTGTTTGTAAAACAGTTTAAAAATAAAGTAAACCCAGTTTTTTTTTATGTAACAATGCATAGGTTTTCTGTCGGTTAGTGTGTGGTTTTAGTATTTAGTCCATGTAATATCCCTAGTTAGAAAGCTGAGCAAACGTGGGTTTGTGTCACTTGTGCTTTCAGTATTAAGTCAGCATATTGAATGTAACAGGCCTGGTTTCACAGACAGGGCTTAGATGAAGTCAGGATTAGGCCATAGTTCATTTACGACATTTAAGTAGTTTTTATAAACGTGCCTTAGAATTTTTTTTTACCTTACTGGTGTACACCTTGAGACAAAACAATGGCTTATTTTAAGAGATGTCAGTGCAAGTCTCTTGCAGTTGAAACATGCATTTTATTCTGGGAGTAGGCTTAAGTCTTGTCTGTGAAACCGGCGGATAAAATCATATTGTACTTATTAAAACATCTGTTCTGTTTGCATGTTGTTGTCACTGATTAAATACGTTATGATGAGTAGTTTCGCGGGTTTGTAGTTGGGACAGGAGGACCGGAGGAGGTGAAGTCCTCTCTGAGAGTTATCAGACGTGTCTGGTTGGTTTACTCGAATAGTTACCACTGAGTGACTCAGTCTTTGCTTTAGTTATGATCCTCATCTCTAGCACTAGTGTTTTGTTTTGCTCTGTCTCTCTCTCTCACACACCAGCATCTTCTGGAGCTGCTCCACCGTCTGATTGGCGACACTGATGCCGTTGATTTCACGAATCTCGTCTCCGATGTGCAGCGTCCCTGAGAAACGACAGCGTACGTGAGCACAGAGACAGACACACAGACACACATTCACAGACACACACACACACACACACACACACTCACACACATATACACACACACACACACACATACACATATATACACACACACATATACACACACACAGACAGACACACATGATGAACACCACGTGCACAGACACCCACACACACATACACACACACACACACACTCAGACACACACTCACACACACAGACACACACACATATACACACACACACACACACACTCAGACACACACTCACAGACACAGACACAGACACAGCTGTACCCTGTCTGTGGATCATCCCGCCGTGCATGATTCTAGCCACGATGCAGTGGTTCAGTTCGTTCATCTTCAGAGTGATGCCCTGTCAACACACAATCACACCCATGATATCAGCACACCGCTTCACAGTCTTTCGCACGAGCATCACAAACGTCCCTCCCGTGGGGATTTCAGCGTCTCGTCTCAGATCTTCAACTCACACTACAGTCTACAGCTGCTTATCATGCAATAAAATGGCTATTGCTACAAATATACCCCAGCGACTTAACACTGCTTTTGTGCTGCAGGGACACATTTTATAATTGATCTGAATAATATCACTATTGTCTTCCGCAGAGCTGCTTTATGCCACAATTTGGATTAGTCTCATATTTGTTTGCATCAATGATTCTGTTATTTTCCTGTTTATTACTGTGAAGCTGCTTTGAAACTCTATATTGTATAAAGCACTATAGAAATAAAGGTGACTAGACAACAGAGTCGTAGTCGATCCTACTAATTTAATTGTTTTATTGCACACTTTGCATGCAACACCATTACCACATGATTTTCCACTCCATGAATAGATAATCACACTGTGACACGCAAATGTTTATTGCTCTAGAAATCAATCAAATGAAAGTTTCAGAATGTGTATTTGTTCTTATATACTTCCTTTTTAGTATTTTTTTGTGTGCATGAATATGTATTTGTATATGTTTTGCCTAATTTGCCTCTCTACTTTTTATTATCTCTCTCTCATGTATATTTTTCTGTTCTGTAAGATAATGTACCACTCACTGCACATAAATTCTAAATAATGGAAAAAATTGTTTTTGTTTGTTTGTTTTTGTTTTGTTTTTTGGAAACTGTGGTAACAAAGCTCCTCCAAAACCATTGTCGGTTACACTTTATTTTAAGGTGTCCTTATTACACATTTAAGTAACGAGTAATATTAATTACCTACATGTACTTGCTATATGGTTAGGATTAGGGTTTGGCTTGCATGTAATTATGCATAATTTATTGTTATTATAATAGTAAGTACATGAAACGTGTAACAAAGACACCTTAAAATAGAGTGTAAAACAGCTCATAAAACATTTACTTTGAGCTCCAGAGCTGGAAAATTTTTTGTTTCAAGGTCTATTTTGGCCCTGATCTTGGAAAGTAGTCTTTTATAATTCTGTTAGAGTCTGTCATAAACACGAGCTTATATTCGCTCATGAAACAGCGAGTGTGTGTGTGACTGGGTACCATGGGCTCGTCCGTGTTCTTCTGGAACTGCACCAGGCGCACACGTGTGACGTTCTCCAGGTCCATGTCTCCGTTGACGCTCTCGGGCGAGTCTCCGTTGAGGTAAGGGGACGTGGGTGGAGGAGTCACTCGCAGCGCCTCGTCGCTGTAAACCTCATGAGCCACAACATCGTGCGTCTGCAGCAGCGCCTGCGACAGGAACCACACACTCAGCATCTGCAGCGTCAAACACTCATCTCTGAACAAAACCCGTTCATCAGCATCTGTGTGGATCAGAGCTCCTCTGCACTGACTGCGAGCGCAAATCAGAATCAATGACAATGATACAGAAACAGCCACGACTGCAACATACATGCATCATGTGCGCGCATACAAATTAATTACACATGCCACGCCTGCAGTTTATCATAGGTTTAGTGTGTGTAAGTGTGATAGTGTGACCACTTGTTTATTTGGTCACTACAGTAATAACACAGTAGCGAGCGGAAAACAAAACCACACGGCAGAGAAAAACTTCTAACACTTTTTAAAGAAAAGCAGTTAGTGAATAAAGAGTTAAAGTCTAAAAGGGTCATTCTATTTTTTAAGAATAGAATTAGAATAGAGTGCTAGAGTTAGAGGGTCAGATAAAGACAAATTTATATAATGCATTATATAAAACTTCAACAATTAAAAAAAGTTGCCTGGTTAATACGTTAATAAATAATAGGTAACCAACATATTTCTACACACATTTTAACATTTTATGTTGTATAAATTTGCACGAGTTACTGCATCAAGTACAAACATAAATGAACAATGAACAACACTGTACTGATTAATTAACAATAATCTGGATTATTGCGTGCTGTATGAGTTCATGAAACCTAATGAATTATGCTTAAACCTAATAAACTAATGCTTTTTTGTAAATATCAAATATTATTCTGTCTGGACTATGAGGGGAGCCAGCAGCAAAAATTACAAGTTATAATATAAAAATAATAAAGAACCATTCTTAAATCTGTAAAGTCATCAATACATGTGTTAACATTATGTTAATTTGTTATTTTAAAGCAAGTAATTGTCAGTTTAAGCTGCGAATCACATAATCAGGATGATCTGAACTGAAGAACCGAACACATTTAAAGTCACTCAAATCTCCTCAACACGACAAAGTGCGGCAGGAAGCGGCTGCTATCCCAGAATTCCTCACCCATGTTTTCCAGAGCAGGTACTCCGTGTCCGTGTTCACTGCGTGTGTGTAGAACTCCATGACCGGATCAGATGAGCGCGGATCTTCCCTCTTTTAACACTTTCTCTGAAGTGTTTCCCTCAATCCGATGGCAGCTCTATAACGCCTCCCTCCCCACACACACACACACACACACTCTCTCACATACACACACACAGACACACACACACACACACTCACACTCACACACTCTCTCACACACACACACACACGCTGCCGCGACTCATCCCATCTGTCTCTGTGCATTAAAGCACTGCTGGCTGTTGAAGCAGCTGCTCGTTTCACTGCAGATTTAGAGTTCAAGTGGCTCGACGTGAAAGGATGAATGTCACCAAAACGTCAATATTTCACACCAAAATCAAAAGAAAGAGATATTAAATTGTATTTAGCATAAAGAAAATGAAGCCCGGTTTTAGGACCTTTAGGAGTTTTTGCACTGTGACATTATTTTCATGAAAATTCAACCCAAACATTATCATTGCTGTAATGTGGACAAGGACTAATTATATTTAATATTTAATTTAAATGACAAAATGCATATTAAAGCTGTAGCTTTTACAAATGCAATAAGTATATATCATGCTAGAATCTATTGTACTGAATTTATGTTGCTTTTAACAGGGTTTCTGCAGGTTTTATGAAGGTAAATGTAAGACTTTTTAAAAAACCAAGCAGAGAAAATTTAAGCAATAAAATGAAAACATTATATAAAATAAATATATAATTTTATATTTTATAAAATAAATAGCTTTAAGGATCTGCTCACAAATAAATGAGAATAAGTACACAAATAAGTTTTGTTTTCTGAAAAATTGTTCAAAATGAAGTGAGTTTATGATTAAAACAAGAACAAATATGTCAATGGACTCAGATAATCAACTTAATTCACAAGGAAAATAAGTTTCTATCCCTCATTTGTTCTAGTTTTAATCAGAAACTCACTTTATTTTGATCAATTTCTCAAAAAACAATGTCATATCTTCATTTTCATCTCCAGTAAATTTACCTTGATTTAAGGATGTTTAGATATTTGTACTGGAAAACAAGACAAAAACGCTGAGGACTGTATTAATTTTTTAGCAATACATGCAACATTTAATGCCACGACTTTATGATTTAAAGACTTTCTCCTCTGATTTAATTTGTGGAAGGGTGAATTTAGACTTTTTAAGACCCACAGAATCCCTGGATTAATAAAAATCGCTTGTTTAATTTACATGACTGTATTACAGTACACAAATTTACAGGATAAACGTTTATTTTTGTCATGAAATAATGTGACTATCAAACAGTCCTAAAGTAGACTTGCTTTCCTGAAATGTATTACTGTTTTTGAGGTGAAATATGACCTGGACATTCTTTACAATATTCTCTCGTAAGCGTCCACATCTGGAGGCGTCTCGTCTCGCTGAAGCTGCATGCACTCAATGCATCTGCGTGACTCAACCTGAAACAGTTGTTGTGGTTTTCATCTGAGCGCGAACAGAGCGCTGCGGCCGACAGCTTCCACTCACCATGAAATGCGGCTGTGTCAGGATTCTCTTCAGCTCTTTTGCCTCCATGTTCTCAGGATAACAGGAGAGCGTCTCCAACACCTGCCGAGATACAGTTCAAAGCACAGAACGCCATTACTGGTTGGAAAAAAAAATTAAAAGAAAATTATATATATATAGATCCAGAAGAACTGTGGCAATGTCTCCAAGACGCTTCAAGAAAGCTCCTGCAAAGCTACAGAGCTGTTAACAGTTTCAGGCACTTGTGTAAAAATGCTGTAAAATGAGGATGCTGTCAAAAATAGATTTTCTTTATCAGTTAACTTCTATTAACTGAATGAAACCAACATTTGGTGTGAGCATCTTTAAAAAAACGATTAATCGAAAAATAATTTTTTTTGCCCAGCCCTAATATATATATATATATATATAAATAAATTAGACCGAATAGAACAGAATAGAATAGGTAAGTGCTAGTATTAATTGGTCAGGTGATGGCGA